AATGATTTATAATTAACTCTTTTATAGATTTCACGTTTGCTTCCGAAGGTGGCCCGAGTGTCGCGCCACTTGGGAACATACATAAGGTCTCTCTTACCATTTGCACGACATAAAACTATTAATCTGATAGATTAATTCGAATTAAAGTAATGTGGTTAAAGAAAAAGAAATAAACTTTCAGAAAACATATTATAACTCAAAGTTCTAAGAATTTAAACACATTATCTTCTCACCTGGAAATTAGAACGACAACTGCAAATAATTAAATCACTTCATACAATGGAGGCCATTCAAGGAAATATCTTCCAATTCAGCCTCGTGCACCTCAGATACAAGATTTACAATGCAGAAGGGACATCTTATGATTCAAAATAAATTTCATTTTACTTTGGGGGGGGGGCTACGTTAGGAGCACTGGCCACCTTTGGCTTACCCACCTTACTTAATCAAACATACTAAATTTTTAAAAAAAATTAATAATTTTTAGTGACTTCCTTGGGTCTGTCCTGCAGAGCAAAGTTTTTTGAGGTGAGGCTTAATATTAGAAATAGCCACTCTCAGTCCTGTTTCTATATTTAGCCGTGATCTATATTTTGTCTTCAAAGAAGCCACAGCAGAAAATCCAGTTTCACAAAGGTAGGATATTGAAAACGGTAATAGAATGCGAAATGCCCTTTGTTTCAGTGCAGAAAAATCCTCCTCCTGCCAAAATTCAAATAGTGATTTATTACTAAATTGCATTTCAGTTTCGCCACTTGTCGTGAAGTCTATGAATTTTTCTTCCTCATCAATTGAGAGTCCTTCGGGAGTCTTATGAAATGGATTCCTAACCCACTCGTAACTTGCTAGCAGTTTGTCATGAGCAGGAAAATACTTTTTAAAATTCTTTGCCAGCATGGCTAAATGATTTTCAATGGTTACAAACGTAACTTTCATATATTCTTCTTCAGCCTTATAAGTTTTAGTACAATTATCCACATTTGCAAACATTGTTAGGTTTTTTTGCTTTAAATTTCTGCCCCACAATTCTAATTTTCTACAAAAAGCATTAACTTCATCACTCGTATCCAACATATGTGTATTTGCTCCTTGGAGTTTAAGATTCAAGTTATTTAATTTCTCGAATATGACGACCAAGTATCTCAATTTCATCACAAATAAACAATAGTGTAAATTCCCGGTTTCCGGTCTGTTATCTTCTAAGAAAATGACGATTTCTTCTCTTAATTCATGAGCACGTTGCAAAAATTTCTCACGTGATAAACATCTTGCCTCACATTTAAATAGTAACTCTGAATGTACTGAACCCATGTCATTACAAAGAGCAGAAAAGATTCTCGATCTCAGGGTTCTCATTTTTATATAATTTGAAATGGTTACAACCGCAGTTAATACAATATTTAAACCAGGACGTATTTCTTTCGAACCCAAAGCTTCTCTGTGGATCATGCAATGTGTCCAGACGCATTGAGGCGATTTTTGTTTTACTAGTGCTTGTATACTTTCGAACCTTCCGGATATTGAACATGCATATTCCGATGCATATTCCAGTGCATATTCCGATGCAATTTTTGCATTCTGTGTTTGCATCGTTCATAACATCATTTAAAATAGCAAATAATGCTAGAGCTGTTGTTTTGAGTTCTATTGATTTGCAGAAAAGTAGTTTTACTACTGACTTATAATTACAAAATCAAACATAGGCAATGAAATGAGCATCTTTATTAATATCTCTTGCTTCAAAGTTTATTCAAAACATTTTGTCACGCAACATCGAGAAAAGCTGACACTATATTTTCAGCTGTATCACCAATTCGACGAGCAACAGTATCATTTGAAAGAGGTATGGACTGTAATTGTTTTGAAAAATTAACTCCAAACATAGTTTCTACAATCTCAATTGCTGCTGATTTTTACTTTACTTTTGTTTTGGTAGTTAGTTAAAAATAATTTAAAGACAGAATTAAAAATACTCAATACACATTATTGTTGTATAAATTTTACTGTAAGTGGGGGGCGCGATGAAAATTATGATTGAAAACTGGGCCGCGAATACTGAAAGGTCGAGAAACGTTGTGTTATTTTAATACTTACGAAGGTAATAATTCCCAAACGTGAGGTAATCTACGGTACACCTAGTTTATTACTTTTCAACCTCACTATTATATAAAGATATTATATATATTATATAAGGAATATTATACATATCTTTATATTTTTTCACTAGTAGAGATCGAGAGAGATTATTATATTATAATTTTATATTATAATTTTTATATTATAATTTTTTTTTTTACGGAAAACAAAATTATCTGTTTGAAAATATCACCTCTTAACAACTATAAACTGACTAAACTGTATAACGGGAAGGTAAGAAGCTGGAGATTTGTTTATGTTTATATTTGCGTTGAAACACCATACCTTTACTTTGTGGCGTAACTACCACTATAAATATTAAATACCAATTCACTTCTATATAAGGCATGTTAACTTGATTCTATCTTGAGGTACTTTTGGTCAATGAAAGTTGACATAGTCGATAATTGAATCCTCTCATTGGTGATCCGGACGCGATAAGAACTTGCCAATATTGATGGATGGTCCACATTAAACAGTTGATTTGCTTGAAAATATACTGCTCAAAGAAAAAAAAACTCCGATGAAGTAAATAAAGACACCCGATCAATAAACAAAAAATGAGGGAAAAAAATAATGAGCGAAATGCTATAAGGAGAAAAAAAATGAGCGAAATGCTATAAACAAAAAAAAATGAAGAAAAAAAAATGAGCGAAATGCTATAAAGAAAAAAAATGAGCAAAATGCTGTAAACAAAAAAAATCGAAGAAAAAAATATATAATGATATTGTTGTTGTTGCTGTTAATTTACGTCGCACTAGAGCTTCACAATGGGCTATTGGCGACGGTCTGGGAAACATCCCGGAGGATGATCCGAAAACATGCCATGACAATTTTGATCCTCTGCGGAGGGGATGGCACCCCCGCTTCGACCTGCGCGTGAAGTCGAGCACTTTACGGTAGCACAGTTTAACGAGGACCAATACCGCACACCCTCGGTCCCTACACAGACTGATCCAAGTGGTCACCCACCCACACACTGACCGCAGCAAGTGATACTTGACTTCGGTGATATGCTGGGAACCGTGTCTTAACGATCAAATGATCAGTCCACTGCGGGACAATATATAATGAGGAAAAAGTTGATATAAATAAATAAACAGCATGAATCAACTAGTGGCATGGTAACCGTTCATCGAATTCTATCACAGATAAAATTCTGAAAGGGGAGTANTATGAATAATATTTATGAATTAACATTTATTATATTACACTGGCACTAATTTAAAATATATTTTCCAGAAATCAATTATAATAAAAAAAAATTATCCAGCAATTTTTTTGTTCTGCGGACCATTCGGCGCCCCTTTGTGAGTAGCGCCCGGGGCATGATGCCCCCCCTTGCCCACCCCTCGCTACGCCACTGATTGGCGACGGTCTGGGAAACATCCCGGAGGATGATCCGAAAACATGCCGTGACAATTTTGATCCTCTGCGGAGGGGATGGCACCCCCGCTTCGACCTGCGCGTGAAGTCGAGCACTTTACGGTAGCACAGTTTAACGAGGACCAATACCGCACACCCTCGGTCCCTACGCAGACTGATCCAAGTGGTCACCCACCCACACACTGACCGTAGCAAGTGATGCTTGACTTCGGTGATATGCTGGGAACCGTGTCTTAACGATCAGTCCACTGCGGGACAATATATAATGAGGAAAAAGTTGATATAAATAAATAAACAGCATGAATCAACTAGTGGCATGGTAAACGTTCATCGAATTCTATCACAGATAAAATTCTGGAAGGGGAGTAATGTGGCGTAACTACCACTATAAATATTAAATACCAAATCACTAGTATATAAGACATGTTAACTTGATTCTATCATGAGGTACCTTTTGGTAGATGAAAGTTGACATAATCGATAATTGAATCCCCTCAATCTAAGTTACTAATCATGAAACTACTTAAATTTTCTTTACATTTGAAAGAAAGACGAGAGATTTCGAAGATGAAAATTAGTATCTCACAATTTTTGATGAAACCTACGCGTCTGTATTCGGAAATACTAGCAACGAGACAGGAGAAAGACAAATGGGCGTTTTAAAGGCAAGGAGAGGATAAATTTGTTGACGAAGACATAAAAATTGAGAAATGGATACCTCGGTTCAATATTTATGTATACTTCTTTTCCTCGCTTTTCAAAAAAGTGATATAAATGTGTAATCTCATAACTATTCGGAATGGCCATACTAAATTTATCAATAGGGAAAATTCTTTGGGAGATTTCGAAGTTAAGTATTGGAAAATCAAAATGGGCCATAGGTGGCGTAGAGCAGAACTCTTTACCTATGTCAACACTTTGCGTGCTTTAAAATTAGCGTGTGGAGATACATAGGAGAAGGAAGTACGTCAGTTTTTCTCTTGATTTTCAAATAGACTAAAAACTTATAAGTTAGAAAATTGTATGGAACTGAAAAATGCATTGGACATAGTTCTAAAAGAAAGCGTAGTGTAAATCTTAAAAAAATATTTGGGACAATTAAATACGAAAAATATTAAGTTATTGTAGTTGTTGTCGTTAATTTACGTCGCACTAGAGCTGCACGATGGGCTATTGGAGAAAAATATTAAGAAGAGTGAGAGAAGGGGAAAAGTCAAGACATGGAACCGGTCTTCTCCCCAGATGGCGTAATAGAGCAGTGCGATTCCGAACATTAGCTAAACTACTTTAGTAGTTTAACTACACAGATAGGGCCACTTCGAATTTTGGAGTAAGAATTCATTGTAAACACAAATAACAAGTTTTGAGCCAAATGGTCAAAAAGCACAACAGAAACAGTGACCCGGAAGTATAGGCAGTAAAGAGCATGCAGCGCTACCTAGTGTAGAAAACACTATCCACAAATGATTTCACAGTACAGGTAGCGCTGCTATCACTATATGTCATTTGTGTTGTCATTGAGTGTTTTCGGAAAAGTGGCACTGTCTTAAATTGCACTAAAATGTTGTAACACTTTCTTGTTCGAAAAGAGCTGAAAGGCTTTTTAAATATTAGAACGGAGTCAACTCAAATATTGGATAATAATCGGTGGGAATGGGTTTTTCGGACATTCTTTAAAGCACTTATTATGTCAATGAATGAAAGATGAAAGTACTACAGTAATGTTTTTATTCTGCGGTGATTTCATGTTTTTTGCTGTTGTTTTTTTAAATAGAAAATTACTTTACAATTCTATTTTTAATTAAATTTAAGCATGCAGTTTTTACGACGTAATTCTAAAAAAAGCAAGTAAATTCTTCCTCGTCTCATTTGTAACATAAATGTAGTAAACTAATCTTCCCAAGATCTTAGAAACGAGTAAGTTAAACACGTCTTTTTTTTTTCTCCACACTTTCTTTTTATTTTGTTCAATATATATACGTAATACAGATATTTATAAACATTATTATATCTTAATGACATTTTAAATATAATTCCGAGAAGTGAAACGTACCAGAAACTAATTAATGTACAAAACTTATTAAAAAATATACTTCACCCTGTTTTTCGTATTTTTATTCAATATAAAGTTATGTACGGAATCATATTAATCTTTGCTGTATACTGTAATGCTTACATCTATAAGTGAAAGGTGAATAATTTAATCCATGGTTTTCCATGATATAGTGGCTATATTCCCATATTTTGATTGAATTAAGCTTAATAAAGGTCCTTTTGTTCCTTGGGGAGATTTTCGTATCATGATCTGTGGCAGAATAATCGCCAAATCTTGGAAATTTCGGGCATTGGCATGCGAGAAACTAAAAAAGAAAACGTCACAGAAAGGGACCAACTTGAAAATTATAACCATCCCTGGGCAAAACATCTACATGTTTTTAAATAAAAAAAATTGCAAGGACGTCTTGGCGATTGTTGTTGGCACGACAGATCACGATACGGAAATATCCCCTGTTCGTGTTCTGGGATTCCCTTTCTTACTTCTTTTACAAGAGATAAAAGTTTCTAGATCCAAATTTTCATTTTTTTCCATTAAGTAAGTAATAATAAGATTAACTAGGTTTATTATTTATGTTTCCCTCTACAACTTATTAACTTTGATAGCTATTATGTTTTATGTATCTGGTCGACATTTCATGATACAGATTACTTTTTAGTTTTTATCTCATCTTTAAGACACAACATGGCTTTCTCTTCGCGCGACCGAAATTTCCAAGGCATTGAAATGTTTTTTAACTTGCAAAAAATTTTTTTGACAAAAATTTGTGATAGTTAGAAATTTCTGGGCAGTGGCCTGCAAGAAACTAAAAAAAACATTGCTGAAAAGGACCAACTCTAAAGGTTTAACTCGCAGCCACCCTTTGGGCAGACATCTATATATTTAAAAAAAAAAAATATTGCAAGTTTAAAATCTATTTGGCAGTACTTTGGCGATTGTAGTTGACACGACAGATCAAGATATAGAACTATCCCCGTTTGCCTGGCGAGTGGCTATCAGTTAAACCTTTTGAATTGGTCTCTTTCCATTATGTTTTTTTTCACCAGTTTTTCATGCGGTTGGCTGGTTTAAACCAATGTAAGTTAGACTAGTGATGTAATGAATGGTGATTTTGCTGACTAGCAAAAATTTTTTTAAAAGAGAAATACCTGATTTCCACAGCTGTTGCTACAAGTGCTGTACAAGTGCTGTACAAGTGCTTGTTAAGAAGGTGAAAAGGATGCATTTTTTGCCTGATGAACATGACTGAAAGTAATGTCTTTCTCATGCGTTCCTATAATCTTATTGCCCATTTATTATCCAAACTAAAATTTGATTATTCAGTTTTTTCCTTGTACTCATGATATTGATCCTAGGATAATGCTTGCATTTTTCTCTGGTTATTCAAAATTTTATTCAGAAATTTTAGTAATGACTGGGTCTGGATGATAAATCGATGTATCAGAAAATAACGATTCTATGCAATCATCGCCGATTCGGTGTTTGGATTGGCAATTTTTCGAGGCATTGGAAATTGTGATTTACTGAGATGTGTATGATATTATTCGGTGTATCGTTGCATAAATCCTGTTTTTTTTTTTACAATCTATCCAGCCGTTCAATGTTTTTTAGCCGCTATTTTGCAGATATCCACATCTTTAAATATTGAAAATTAATTATTAAAAAATGCAACGTTTATTTTTTAAAAAAAAATACAACTTACTAATTACGAATTTGTGCAGTACTTATTATAAAACATTAATGTACCGAAACATAGCGATGCATCAAAATATCACAATGTTAGCAAGACGATACATCGCAATGCCAAAATCTTAACATTGTCCAGTCTAATGAATTTGTCCATCAATCATTTTTAATAAATTTGCTTAATAAATGATAAAAAATTGCTAAGTTTGTATATGAATAATAATTTAGAATAAATTTATTCTGACTATAGTTAGTCATGGATAAAATTTCCATGAATGATGCCCATCCCTGATTCTATGGTGGACCTTAAATTTTTAAATGCAATGGAGATGCCTTTTTTTGTAACTTTATTTTTCATTTAATCAATGCCGTTTTTATGGACTTATTGGGAAAGCTAATTCTGTGAAAGATTGAATAGCTAACGTTTGCATAACTGCTGCATCTCTGCCTAAAGCTTGATTTGTTCTAATTATTTTATAAGGATTAGTGATAGCTTCTAAGTTTTTTTTTCTTTTTGTTTCAGACTCTATTTTTCATGAATATTTTTGTTTTCCACTGGGAAAGCCCTTTTCTGTTTTTGTAATCAACTTTTTCTTTAGCAAAAGTGCCCATCACTTAATCTCTTTTTTGTTTCATACTTTTTATAATATACTCACTTTATACAACTATTTTTTACTATCTAAGATAATTATAAAAAAAATAGTTTTACTATTCACATCATTAATGCATTTTGTAAATTATATGAATTATTCCATTTTCTACTTTTTAGATTTTTACTTCTGAACTTGTTATCTCGAAATTTTTTTAGCCTCCCTTCAACTTTAAGGCATCAAGAGTATACTGTATTTTGTATATAATATCGCACATTTTTTGTTTAAATCTTAGGTATTTTTAAATTTTCGTGACCTACATTTTATTCAAATTTCCTAAAATATTTTCCTTGTAAATTTTTTTTTTTACCATAATAAAAATAACTAATATATTTTGACTTTTAGTGACCTAAGTCGTTGAGTGGATGCTCTTTAGGCTGCATGGTTAGAGCTGTTCCACCCCTCTGCTCGCCACTGATTAGGACTGGACGATGTTGAGATATTGGCTTGCTAATGTCGCGATATTTTGATGCATCACGAAGTTTCGGTACATTAATGTTTTACGTTTAGTACTGTGTTAATTCGCAATTAGTAAGTTGCATTTTTTGAAATAAACATTGAATTTTTTTTGTAATTATTTCTCAATATTTAAAGATGTGGATGTCTGCAAAATAGCGGTTAAAAAAATTAACCCCTTCCTTCTCGCTCCCATGAAAATGACGGGGTGAGATTCCCCCCTCTATTTCTTGCTCACGTGATATTTCCGTGCTGGAGTGTTCAGTAGTAACGCGCCAGTAAGAATAAAACTAATTCATTTCTTTTGCCCAGAAAGCATTTTATTTCTCATTTTACACACCAGATGGCAGCACCAGGATATTTTTAAGGTAATTGTAGAAAGTTAGTTTATTTTGAATTAGATGTCAGCACTAATCAAATACGTGTATTTGTGATATGTAAAAAAAATAGGCACCTTTATGACCGTTTTCTTCAAAATAAACGATTCTTAAGGGGTTAAACAGCTGGATTGATTTATAAAAAAATCTACAGGATTTTTACACACAATTAAAAGAAAACCCCTCCGTAACTTAGAGATTCACCAACACTTTGATTCTTAATCACATTTGGATTCATCATGTCAGCAAACAAAGAGTCAAGACGTAAAAAAGACAGGGGAAGATAATGATCATCACCACAACCATCAATGCTCTTCGTGCAAGCTTGCAGACATCAATGTACTATCTGGAACCGTGCTCTAAATTGCGCACGTAGACATCGATGTCAACGATACATCTGTAATATCGTACACATTTCACAATTTCCTATGCTTCAAGAAATTGCCAATCCAAACATCGGATCAGCGATGATTACATAGAATATGTATTTTCCAATCGCCGTGTCCTATCTCTGACTTAAAATCTTTTTTTGATTCCATTTTATTAAAAATGAACTTTAACAGGTCCTATTTTCTAGTTATTCACTGAAAGATGAAGACAGATACAGAAACAAGCAAAAATGGAGAAAGTGGAAACCATAACCATTACAGTGAATTGCCCGAAAGTGAAAACCCTTCTTCTGTCAAAATATCTAAAAAAGAATCTAGAAAATCCAATAAAGAAAGCAGAATTTTGAGGAGAAGTAAAACTCTTAAAGGTTTGACTTCATTTAGTATAATTTAATGTATGATTTTGTATTTTCATTTTTAGGCTTAAAATGTGGGAGACTTTCATCAGCGATTTTTTATTATTGTAGTTCCTAAAAGAATTGAAAAATATAATTTTTCTTAGTATATTTGAAGAGCATCATCTATGGTACTTAAAAAGTTTTACATCCAAGTATAGTTTGTCTATGGTAAGAACTCACCCTTCACAAAGTCTGAGGCCAGCTGCTGCTTTGGAAACAAGAATAGCCCATTTCAGGGAGGTTAGTTTCTCTTCATTCTAGGGCTAACATGATAGATCAAAGAAAATGGTTTCCTTTCTCTCGTCGACTAGACCGTGCCGAAACCTGTCCTTAGCAATGACCCTATACACCTACTTGAAATAGTTATACCTCGTTACCATAGTCACCGCCATGGGTCCAGACAAATGTCTAGGGGAATTCTTACTTTAGACAAACTATATATATAAGTATAAATTTTGTTTATAGAGTAAGACTGAAATTTCTAGTTTTTTTTTAGTTGTACTATTCAGTTTTTTAAGAATATTTATTAAATGGATGCTGCATCTTTTTCTCACTTTTGTTTTATAATAAATTAAAGATATGTTTGTCAAATTTAAAATTTCATCTAAAAACAGGTGTCTGTAATGATAGAAATAACATTGGAATACTATTAAAACTCTGTTTTGATCTGAGAAACTAAAAATTGGAAAACGCTAGCAGGAAAGAAATTAGCATGGAAAAAACTTCTCGAGAAGGCCAATGGCCCACCCTGGGTTGTTGATCCATTGATGATGATTAAAACTCTAAGTGTCAGTCCTGACATTTTTCGAGCTTTCAGATGCAGGTTCACCTGCATCAAAAAATCTGTTTCTTCATGTTATTGAATGGGAAAATAATGTGTAGCACGAAAATTTCTGTTCAGTTTTTACCGGGGACTCAAGACTGGGAAGGTTAAAATAATAATTAATTTTAACACCTTTAATTTATTTTTGTATGGTAACTGTCATAGTTTTAAGTATTAGGCTCTTGGTAACTTAATCATAGTAGTATAGTATCTGTGTCCCTGTACTTGTTTATTCTAACCATCTCTAATATCAAGGACATCAGTGATTTTTAAACTGCATTAATGATGACTGTTGTTGACTTTTTTATTTTCAAATGGTTTTTTCTTCTACTTTTTTTTACCGTTTAAGATTTGAAAGGCTATCTAGGATGCATACGTTCAAAATAACATTCAGCATTTTTAAAATTGACTTTATTATTATTATAGCTGATTAAAAGTGAAATCTGTTTGTTTGCAACTGTTTTAAGATATTATTTTTCTTCAAAAGTAATTATTTCTGTTTCTTTTTAGCCAAAGTTGCCAATTTTTCTTGATTTTAATTGCAGAAAACAAAATGCTGCAAAAATATTTTTGTAATAGTGTTGCTCAATTTAAAAATCGATTAAAATGTATGTTTTTTTTTGCTTCAATATATTTAAAATTTTTACAAAGAAATCAAATTACATAATTGTTTTTTTTTTTTTTTTTTTTTTTTTTTTTTTTTTTTTTTTTTTTTTTTTTTTTTTTTTTTNTTTTGTGTAAGTTTGATTTAAAATGATCTCAACCACCATGACTTTGAAATCATTTAAACATTTCTGTAAAAGTCTGATAATTTTTTGGTATTGTTAGTTGCTGACATTTATTTATTTATTTTTAACTTGCTTCCCTTATTTGGAATAATATCACTTTCAAACATTGTTGAAGCATGAGCTTGGTATGGCATATACTTGATATGCCATATCAAATTCATTTTGATTGACAAGGTTGTAGAAAACTAGGTGGTTTGTCTTTAATTTTTCTTTCATGCACTTTGGATTTGAATAATTCCTGAAAGCAGCTGATTGCATTCTTATTTGAAATTAAGATTGAAGACATATCTGAAAGATTTTTTACATTATTCTTTATATTGTTTCATCATTAACAAGATCATTTGTCTTGTTTTATGATTATTGTAAATTAAGTTAATAACTTCATTTATCAAATTATAATTTTATAATTTATAAACTTGCTGAATTTTGCAGATAAAAATGATCCAGATAGGTTTTGTGGCGAAGGAATAAATTTCAAAGCTAAAATAATAGGTACTGAACATGTATTTGATGCAAGAGGCAATCGTATGTGCCAAGGTGCTTTACAAAGGTTAAAGGTAAGTCAATGTTTATTTTAATTTGTCTTTGTTAATTATTTGAATGAGGCTTTGTTGATTATTTGAATTTTATTATTCTTTATTTTGTTTCATCATTACAAGGATTTTAGACTTACATGCATTTATCAATCTATTTTCTAATTTTAAAAAGTTTAACCCCGAAGATGTTCAGTTTCCTTTCTTGTAATCAGGGTTTGTTGATTTAAATCAGCTTGATTTAAATCTTGATTTGAATCAAATGATTTTTTTTAAAAAAAAAAATCCTTGATTTAAATCAACTGATTTTTTTTATAAATATATATTGATTTAAAAAACAGTGTTTTAAATTTTTGATACTTTTATTATTTCTTTTCTTTGTTTTAAAATTTATTTNCTTGAATTTGTACACTTAAGTAAACATAAATCGTGATTTGAATCAAATGATTTTTTAAAAAAAAAAATCCTTGATTTAAATCAACTGATTTTTTTTTATAAATATATATTGATTTAAAAAACAATGTTTTAAATTTTTGATACTTTTATTATTTCTTTTCTTTGTTTTAAAATTTATTTTAAATAAATTGCTGCATTAGTTTTAAAATTTATTATTGTTGCATTCATTAATGTATGTGTTAAATTCCAACACATTTGAAATTACATTTTTAAAAATCTTTTAATTCTTGAGATTGAAAGTACAGATTAAATTAAACATTTAAGTATTTTTTTTTCTCATAATACGTTTACAGTATCTTTGGCATTATCAGATTTTCTATAAGGAAATTTTGTGAAAAAAATTTTAAATGAGTACATAGATTTTCATAAATTTTTTTTTAGCTTAATTTATCTGTTTTGATATAGGATTGAAAAGGAATATTTTAATATAAAAATATATGGATTAAATATTTATTTATTTTTTGATGAATGACTACATTTATAAACACAATCTGTAACATTTATTTTGTCAGTTTAAAAATCAAGAGAAAAAAAAAAGAAATCACAATTTTAAATTAAAATTATGTTTTGGTAATTGAAACTTTGTTTTAATAGTTAAAGTATTCTTTAAATTCTCTATTTCATCTAGTCTTTAAATTTCAATCATGCATTTGTTTCAAAATGGTTGCTATGGTTGCTATGTATTATAATGAAAAATTGTTTTAGCTAGTTAGAGCTTCTAAAATATTTTTATAATATAGTTTTTAATATTAATTTAATTTTTTTTAAACATTTATAAACTTTTTTTAGTCATAAATTAAAGTTCTTACAGTGTATTTGAATAAAAATTAAAAAAAATCAGATTTTAATTAAAAAAATCTGATTTAAATGAAAAAAAAAATGATTTTTTGGATTTTTTTTTAAAAAAATCAAAAAATTCATAAATCTTGCTTATAATTGATGAATATTCTTGTACCCCTATTTTCTTATATTGATACAAATCATATAGTAATGTTATTTTCTGTAGGCTGCTGTGAAAACGTCTGGTGATCACAAACAGAGGATTATTCTTAACATTTCTTACAATGGAATAATCATAAAAGATGAGAAAACTGGGGTAACTATTTCTAAAATCATTTCACTAATAGTTGCTTACATAGACTACTATTTGCTTAATACTTATTTAAAAGCACTGTTTGCATAATGGATACATATTGTTTGCTGGAATGTGAGGGGTGCAAAAAATTGTCAGACCTTAATATTTCTTTAAAACGCAGTTTTTTGGGTTTAGAATTTCTCCAAAATTATAGCACTTTTTTTTAATTGCGATAATTTTAAAAAAAATATTTATTGAAAGCAAAGATTGTATTTTGTCAAAATTTTAATTTTTTTTTTAACAAAAAAAAAAAAATATTCAGTTGATTTTTTACAATTATTTTAATAAAAGAGCACATTTGTTAAAAATAGAAACTGAAGATATAGAAATAGTAATAATTTATAATTTGTAAAGAGAAATTTTTTTTTGCAGTAAAATATTTCATTGTAATTTTTATTTTATTTAATTACGACAAAAATTTCAGGGCTGTCTGAATTCCCCCTGAATCTTGTTCGTGCGATCAGACAAATTCTGCACCCTTCCTTTTTGCATAGTGTAAATATTGTAAAATTGAAACTTGTATAAAACGCATGAATACTTGTTAAAGGGTTTTAAAACACCATACAAATAAAAATAAAGCCACATAATTTTGAAAAGAACAAACCTTTCCTTATCGAGCTGCAAAAAATACATTAAAGTAGGAAGAAGAATAATGAATCGAGAGAAAATAAAGACGAGGATCAAATTACTTTCTCCTCCTAATAACCAATTTTCTTTCATTGTGTTTCTGATTTTCTAATGAGAGGAGGCTAGAGTTTTCTAATACCAGGACAACCACTCACTCTGCAAATAGTGAAAAATCTTGAGTTTTCAGGGAAATTTATCTTTATTTGTGGACGTTTTTTGGGATATCAGCATTTAGCATTACTTATCACATTCCTCCCAAAGAATTTGAGTCATCGAATTCAGTCCAAGGAATATGAATCATTGGAATAAATTTGACATCCATCACTATCATACCTGCCAAATCTCCTGTTTTTTAATGAGGATTCCTGTATTTTACGACTATCTCCTGTTCACCCAATCCTGTTCATTCTCAAATTTCTACATATTTGTTGAGGAAATTTTAACAAAAAATATTTGGCCATAAAATATCTGCTGATGGCAGAAATACTTCTCTTATTTCTCAACAGATGGTGCTATTGTCAGTACTGCAATATGTTGAGTGGTTGCTCAGGGGATAGGGCATTGCTTTCCAATGAGGTGAGCTAGGTTCGAATCCCAGCGATGGCTGATCGATACGAATTCTGCATTCTACTGACGTAAAATATCCTCAGTGGTAGACGGATCATGGGTAAGAGTCCCCTTGCTGTCAGGCTAACTGTGGGGTGTCTTCGCGGGTTTCTTCTCCGTGTAACCCAAATGTAGGTTCCATCAAAAAGTCCTCCGTGAGGACAAAGCTCTCTTAATACTTGATCCAGAAGTTCCCTTGGGTTCAAAATAAAAGGCTACAGAGTTGAACATCAGTAGTTGTAAACCCTAAATTGGGTTGGCTGTTCAACGAGGGTTATGAAGTTAAATAGTTTAAGTAATTGTAAATAATGTTTTAGATTTATATACATATTTGTGACTTACATGATTATGTATGATGTATCAAAACTTTCCTTGTAGCCTAAAAGATGTCGCTATAAAATCTCCTTTATTTCTCCAATGTTGGCGGGTATACACTATATTAACACAATTTTATTATAAGTGTTCATCCAACTATTAGCTCTTTTATGTAACCAATAATATTTTCCAAAACTTATCAAATCTTTATCAACTACACATTCATTTCAATTAATATATTTTTTATTCCAATGAGTATTATTCATTTCATTCCTTCCAAGGAATATTGGGTTCATTGGGTTCATTCTTCAGAATATGATTCATTACAATGTATGTGATGTCACTATATTCACACACAATTTTAAAGCAAGTGTTTAATATATTATTCAGCTCTTTTATATATTGTAATCAATTTAATATTTTATATTAATAGAAACTAATTCAGTGGCACTTTTATTTATTTCCCCCCATCATCAATGCTAATAATTAAATTTTTAAATGTTTCTCAAAACTAATTCCTTCCAATCTAAAATCAATTAATAAAATTAATAATTTTTTGCATAATTTGTACAAAAATAGTTTCTTTTTAACATCCTAAAAATTTTGGTATGAAATAACCTGCAGTTAGATATAAATTCTTGATAATATATGTAAGTAAATCTTCCTGGATGGAAGAAAACCAATACCGAAAGGCATTGCTGAAAAATTCAATCTTGATCCTTGATTATATTTGAGCATTACTTCACGATAGTGGTCTAAATTATAGATTCTGTGCTGAACATGCATATAAACATCATATATACATGTACATACATATAAACGTCTTTATATGCATGTACATGTTCAAAATCGAAATGAACATAAGCTAACAGAAGGATTAACACCTTTTGAAATTTGGTATAGATACAAACCTCCCCAGTCCGACGTTTAAGAGTGTTTAGTTCTCTTGAATTTGTACACTTAAGTAAACATCTAATGTAAAACGTTACATGTTATTAATAAGATGATTGTTAAGTGTTTTTTTTATAAGATTGTTTTTGTATTTTCATTATTTAAACAAATTATTGGATTGAATATTTTTACACACATTTATTTATAATCGTTTAACCCTTTTGCTTACGGCTGCAACAATAAATGGACCAGAATGGCCTCATCATGCTAAGCACTGTAAGCAAAAGGTTAATCTTTTGTACACCAAAATTTGGGATTTTGACAATAATTATTAAAACTGAAAGAGTTTAATGTCAAGGTAATTCAAAATCATAATTGATTGATCACTTGTAATTTTATATGTACGTTTTTTGATAAATACTTTATATCTATAGCTAATAATTATCCTTACACCAAAATTTTGAGTTTTTGACGGATGTTAAAAAGAGGTTTTTGATATGACGGTTAAAACCGGATAAAATTGTCAAAAATTTGCCAACTCTGCAAGAACTGAAATTTTATGAAGAAAGAAAATAAATGCAAGTTATTTTAAAGAAGCTTATTGGCGATAATTTAAGAAGTAATTTTGTTTTATAATGAAATGGTTAAGAAATTGTTAGTTTTTATCTGCTTTGTTCATTTCAATAACTAAACAAAAATAGCTTCTTTTTTTAATTGAAAAATGAAGATGTTTGAATCTTATGTTGCAGGAAATTCTTCACCATCATCCTATTCACAAAATATCTTTCATTTCCCAAGACACGGTGGACAAAAGATCTTTTGGTTATGTATTTGGATGTCCTCAAAGTGGCCATGAGTTTTTTGGAATAAAAACTGAAAAAATAGTATGCTTTCTATTTCCCTCTACCTCTTTTTCTTTTAAACATTTTGTATTTTCAATAATTATATATTTTTTTAATTCCTTTATGTCATTTGGCTTAACTCTAATCAAATAAATACCTGTTTTTTTTTTTTACAAAACAGAATGTGTATAACATTTGAAAACTTATGTTTTGCATTTAAAAACTATTTATTTTATAACTATTTTATGCTGTTATTTAGATCACACTTTTTGCCACTTGAGTTGGGGAGAAAAGTCTATATTGCTGCTATCCTGCTATTGTTTGTCTTACTTTCTTTCACATTTTTTTCTTCTTTCCTTTTTAACAAAAATAGAACCAATGACCACTTATTTAAATGATATTCATTGATTAAATTTACTGTACAGACTTACAGACAATCAGTCTATATGTCTTTTTTTTTCCCTAATGTTTGTTTATTGGTTTACAAAAGAAGGAAAGTGCAGTAAAAATATTTTTTTATTTTTCATTTTTACTGATTTAAGTTATATTTATCAGTGGCAGTTTTAAGAGTAATTTGTTTCCCCTATTTTAATAGTAGAATAATTAACTTTTATTTTCTCATTTGAATTAAATATTTAACTAAAACCAATCTATGAAGCATTATGCTATTTTAAGCAACTTTAAATGATTTTTAAAAAAAGGCAATTTATTAGTCTGTATTATTTTGCCTATTTTATTCATTTTAAAATAGAAAGATTATCCTCTCCCTTTGAAACAGATTTTAATTTGTCACTAAGGGGTACTTTTTGGCTTGTTTCAGCTCGTGTAATAGATGAAAGATAAATAAACAATTAATAATAGTTTTTTTTTAAAGTTAACTACGAAAATAATAAAAAAAAATTTAACTCTAAAATTTCTTCTAAATTGTAGCTTTCTAAAATTGTAGCTTTATGTGCTTTTAAACAACATTGTTAGGAATTTTAAAACTTGATGCACCCCATTAAAACAACCAGTTTGTAAAACACATTGAATTATTTTTTGATTGCTAATCTTATGGAAGAATATTATTTACTTCTCAGTACTAGTTAAAACCTCAATAACCTTGATTATATGATTCAATGTTCAAAATTAATGGTGGTCAATTGGTCCAAGACTATTAAAATCTAATTACGGGTCACCAATGAGTGGACTTTGCGACTTGTGACCAATCTCCGTAAGTTTAATGTAAAAGAATAGGAAGTTGATTGGGTTTCTTTATCTGCATTTTTTCATACAATTTTAAATCTTCACATTCTATGTTATCCATTTATTTATATTAACTTTTTTAACTAATTTTAACTAACCACTTTTTTTTAATCTCAATTTTAATATTCTACTAACTGCAAATATGTAGCCATGAACCCGTTTCTTAAAAAGAGGGCGAAATTTCAATTTATATCAATCTTAATTTGCATTTTTTAATTAGTTAATAAAAAATTGAATACTGTATTTGCAAAATTTTATTTATTTCATTTATAAGAAACAATACTCCTGTATTTTTCGTCTATCTCCAGTTTACCTGTTGTGTATTCTCAAATTTCTCATTATTTGTTAAAGAAATTAAAGATAAAAAAAAATTGTCGATAAAACATCCTCTAATGGCAAAAATACTTCTCCTATTCCTCAACAGATGGTGCTGTTTTGCAATACTGCAGTGGGTTGAGTATTTATTGTTTAAGTAATTATAAATAATGGTTTAAAAAAAATCTTCTTTACATTAAGATTTATATACATATTTTTTACTTCACTAAATGTAAGTGCTTATTTTATTTCCAATTTTGAATTTCTCGTTCTGACTTACATGATTACGCATGATCTGTCGCTAGTAAAATCTCTTATTTTATTTCTCCAATGTTGGCAGGTATGAATTTGTAAGGACTAGTGAAAGTTTTTAGTCACTGCTCCTTTGGACCAGTGGCTAATATTTATTCTTTTAATTTCATCCTCTGATATAATTTATTTGTGAAGACAGAAAAAGATTATATATTTCTTTTTTTTATAGGCTTCTCATGTTGTCCTTACCCTGAGAGATCTCTTCCTGGCTGCTCTTGATATGAAGAAGAAAGAAATTGAAAGTGCAAAAGAATCTCAACAAAAGGAAGTCCCTGAAATTTCTAATAAGGTTCGTTAAGCAATTGTTTATATATATATATATATACATATATATCCAACATAAAAAGCTTCAATTCATCTTTGTATGTTATTCCTTTTCTGTAAATCCTTTTCTTAATTTATTATCCAAAATGAAATGCTCTTTCTCGCACTTTATGATGACTTATGATAATTTTTTTTAAAAATGTGATCTGCATTTAGTATTCTGAGTACCTCAATTTATAAACTGAGAATGCAACAATTTAATACTATGGAATTGTATTAGATTTTTTTTATTATTATGCTTCATTCCCTATTTCATCAATTCAGGTTTCAACAAATGGAAACTCTNATGTATATATATATATATATATATATACAATTTGTATATGGCTAAAGCTTGATAATCAAAGGTAAAACAAAACAAATAAAAGAGTTCAAATGCGCCACGAATGTGGTATTATTGATAACTAAATAGTACCAGTAATTATTCAAAATAATGCAAAGAAAATAGACTTTTTACATTTCTATTAATTTAATTTGTTAAAATGGTAACAAAATATTAGAGAAAAAAAACTATTTTCCAATAAACTGAAACTTATTCAATTAAACTAAGTTTTCAGTAATATTAAGCAATAATTATTTATGGAAATAATTTTAAAAAATAAAGTTGTAAATTTAAATGTTTTTCAATGCAACTTTGGAATACTTTTTACTTTATACTTAAATATTTTTTGAAAAGTCATTTGGTAATTAAAATTTATCTTTCGTTTCATTTAAACGTTGTTACCATCATAAGCTAATTACAGCAACTGTTTGAAGATGAGAAAGTAAGTCATAATCAGCAAATACAGACTTTTATAAGATATTGATTCAAAACAAAATTCATTCAAATGTAAATTGACCTTTCATTTTTAAAAAATAAGAAGAAAAAAATGTAGAAAATCATTGAAAATATTTGCCATTTAAATTATAAATGAGGAAACTCACGTAAAAATGTTAAAAAATTAAGATATTAGTAAAATTACGTTATATTATATTAGCTACATAAATTTACTTCGACGTTGTTTTAAAAGCAAAAAATATTCTGCCAACTTATCACGCTTAATATTGTCAACAATATCTTTTTCTGCTTTGAGTAAAAGCAGTGAATTTAGGCGTTCAGTGGTCATTGTTGTTCGAAGATAGTTTTTAATCAATTTCATCTTGCTGAAAATTCTTTCATTTGTCGCAACTGTCATTGGTGCAGTTAACGCTAATAGATTTAACAATAAAAACTTATGAAAGCATTTATGCTAAAATGTATGATTCTGCATTTTTAATACAAACTGTGAATTGAATTTTTACATAATTACAAAATTATTAAGTTTTTTTTTACTAATAACTAACTTAAATGAAAAACTGTTAACTTAAGTCAAAAAAATAATATAAAAACATTAAATAATTAAATACATAAGAAATACGTCAACCCCGCTTAAAGGAATTCCAGCAAAATCTATGCAATTGAGCGGGTTATTCGATTAAAAGGGAAGTGCAATATTCTATCTAAAATTTTGAATTTTTACGAAATTTTACTTTTTAGTGGTATTTAATGCATAGTATAGCATTTTGATTAAATAAGCTCAGTTTTATGATCAATTAACAATTATAATTAAAACTGTATGCGTTAGTATGATAAAATATAAATGTCCTTTAAAATTACATAAAAGTAAATCAATATTAGTAAAAACTATAATGTAGGTACTAAAAAATATTAATTGATCCCTTCCGAAAAAATCTATAATTGAATTTTTTTTAATCTTCGAAACTTGAAAAATTTAAATTAATGCTCGATTTAAATTAATGCGCTATTTTAGATAAGGGTTTTCTGAAATTTATTACTTCTAAGATTCATTGTTTTGCTTTTTTCCGATTAATTTAAATCATTCCTTTTCGCTCTCAACTTGCACCCAACTCAAAGTCATTAACTGGGTTAAGCAATTATTCTATTTAAGAGAAAGACTCTCTGTACACTAGTGTGATAGGTTTTTGAAACTTTTTCTTATCAAAGTTAATAGTGCATCAACAGGGGATCACAAGACAAATCACTCTATCCTTTTTTTACATTCTAAATGATGTGTGTGTGAAGTAAGTCAAAGAGAGGTAAAATCCCCTTCGTTTACTTCAATGTATAAAACTGGCAGCAAGATTTGATTAATTTTTCAACTTTACCCCCAAACACCTATTAATGAAAAAGAAGTCCCTATTGAAGTGACCACATATTGTATCTTTATCTTAACTGAAAAAGGGAAATTCCATTTCAGCTGGTGAAACATTTCTCAAAAATAAACAATACTTTTTTCATTTCAGTACCACTTCATTATGCAATTAGGCGGGGACAAAAAAAACTACAAATAACCGTTTAAACGGGGAAGTTTAACATTAGTTTCTTCTAAAATGATTTGATTCCATTAAATTTTATTCGTATAAGCGGGTAATTCGATTATCCGATATGCGATTAAGTAGGGACGACAGTACAGAATAACTAAAAAGAATTATTTATCACAAAAAACTGAAACTTTCTATTTTAAACACGTTACATTTTCAATAAAATTAGCATTAGTACATTTTTGTTCATAAAGGATTGCAGTTTGGACTTATAAAAACAAAGCCTACGAAGAAATATAGTATTTGAAATTTCAATTAAATAAGATCTGTGAAAAATAATTTCAGCTGAAAAAATCTAAAAAAGAAACAAAAAATACTATTTCAAGCACAAAATAAAAGGTTAGTAAAAAGTGAAAAACGGAAAAAGAATTCCAATTTTCAGAATTCAAATGTGATTTATCTTTTTCCATCCCTAGTTCCTACTAATGAATATAAATAACATAGCATTTTTAATTGCTCTTTTTTCTTTCTTTTAATTATTTTACTGCACAAAAAAGATTGAAAAAATAATTTTATCTGCTTCATAAAAATTAATTTTTACCCGAAATAATTTAATTGGAAAGTAATGACACATTTAATGCAATTTAATTAAACTTAATATTTAAACAATAAGACTGCAAATAATAAATATGTATTCTTAAAAAAATTATACTTACATTCAAAATAGGGACTGCGGTAGATAGGATGATCGTTGGCATGTGAGCGGATTTTCTATTTTATTCAATAATAATATGAATTTATAAAATATGCTTTGAGTAACTAAGTATCCGTACTAGACAGTTAAAGACAGGTCAGTGAAGTAATTGCTACCACAGCTGTATGTGCATTGAGCATCTTCCTTCCCCTTCTTAACCACATGGACAAAGATATTGTCTTTATTCTCAGAAAGAGTAAAAGAAAACATGAGAAATTATAGCTTAGGGCATTTCTAGCTAACCACTTTTAAAAGACCCTCGATTTTTCAAGTTGACAGAAATATCCGGGATTTTGTCTGCTGATTCACAAGATCGAGTCGCAGCACCATCCTTTTTTTGCACCTCTTCATAGTGCCCTTAGCGGCTTGATCAGACAGAATTGCCACTTCTCCATGAATATTCGAAATTCTCTATTTTCACCATATTTTTTTTTGAAATAATTAATGAATCCAAAATTACAACATTTAATACTTTGAACTCGGCAACCATTCTCAAATTGTGTGAAATGATCGAAGTGTCGATTCGATTGAGTGTAACTTAATTTAATGTTTCAGGATTCTTAGGATTCTTGAAAAAAAAATATTAAAAGCAAAAAACAATATTTTATTTTCAAAACAGAAACTTTTATAAAGGTGAATTGAGGATCACATATATGTTAACTATTTTCCATAGAGAATATCAAATTTTGTTGCCATGATTAATTGTTCTAAAGATATGAATTGGTCCCTGAACATTTTATTTTAGGTTAAAAAATATTGAACTCAAGTAATAATCCAATCATCATAGAATTTTAAAAGTTATGAACTGAATGGTAGTTAACAAATTAAATGTTTTTATTTTCTTTTTTGGAGTTAGGAGTCCTTTGGAGTTAGTAAAATTCTTCATAATAGATAAATATCGTTTACTAATTGAAAATATAAATTATTTAATAATTTGTGTTATTTAAACAGAATTTAACAATTTAAATAAGATATTTTGAATAATAAAGTATCCTATTTAATAGGTACTCTTATTTGTAATTTTTTCCCTATATTTTGAAAGTAAAAAAAATTGGTTGCATCACCGGCACGATTATTTCATATAAAATTTATAATTCTTTTAAAAAAAAATCATGTAAGTTCATCAGTTCCTTTAAAAAAATTACTTAAACCTCTAATAAAGATTTAATATAATTCAGATAAATAATATCTGAATTTTATGATACATTATTAGCTAACTAAAAATTAAGGTCACTACAAAATTTTTTTAAATTTAAGAATGTGTCGTTTAAATAATAATACAAGAGAAACGGTTTTCGAGATTTTGGCATGTAATGTCGGTCATCTCGCTTTGAATTATCATAAATGGTTACTCTTGGAGGAGAAAAGAAAAAAACTAAATTTAAAAACACATTTCACAACAAGATTTGCCGAGTCGGGTCTGGGATCCCGAAACGAAATTCAGATAACATTGAAATTCGTTTAAATCTCATCACCGATGAAATATCCGAAAACGAAAGAATTTCGGCAAAGTCGGGATTTTGGCCTGAATTATTGATCATCTTGCTTTGAATTATCATAAATGGTTACTCTTGGAGGAGGGGAAAAAAAAACTAAATTTAAAAACACATTTCACAACAAGATTTGCCGAGTCGGGTCTGGGATCCCGAAACGAAATTCAGATAACATTGAAATCCGTTTAAATCTCATCACCGATGAAATATCCGATTATGAAAGAATTTTTGCAAAGTCGGGATTTTGGCCTGGATTATCGGTCATCTTGCTTTAAATTATCATAAATGGTTACTCTTGGAGGCGAAAAAAAAACTAAATTTAAAAACACATTTCACAACAAGATTTGCCGAGTCGGGTCTGGAATCCCGAAACGAAATTCAAATAACATTGAAATCCTTTTAAATCTCATCACCAATGAAAAATCCGACAAGGAAAGAATTTCGGCAAAGTCGGGATTTTGGCTTGTAAAGAAAAAAAAAAAAAAAAAAAAAAAAAAAAAACCTCTCAATAAATT